GTACCCCACAAAACTATAATAAAAATACTGATTAATTATTAAAAAAAAAAAAAAAGAAAGTCTGTAGAATTGGAGTAACTAGACTGATTAGCATACATATTGTCAATTTTTGTAGATATTGCCAAATTCATTATTTCGCCAACTAAATAGAGTGACTGTTTTCCCCACAACCTAGCCAGAATGGTCTGTTAGTAATCTGGGAACTCTAAGTTAAAATCACAATGGGAAAACTGTTTCATACCCACCAGGCTGGCACCGAGTCTTTCCACTACACACCCCAGATTCACAGGCATGTATATTCCAGGAAACATGCCCGAGATGTTCAGAGCAGCATTTTCTACAAGGGCTTGAAACTGGAAATGATCAGAATGTCCACTAATAGTAGAATGGGTAAATATTTTGTGGTACATTAAAGCAAATACGATTCAGCAGTGAAAATAAACTGTCAGTATATGTGTAAAAATGAATCAATTCAAAATAATGTTGAGTGAAAAAGTATAATTTCAGTGACTTAAGGTTTAAAAACAACTAAAGTAGCCAGGCTTGGTGGCTCAGCCTGTAATCCTGCACCTTGGGAGGCTGAGGTGAGTGAATTGCCTGAGAGTCCGTGGGTTCGAGACCCACCCGGGCAACTTGGCAAGACCTCATCTCTACAATAAATCAAAAACTAGCCGGGTGGGGTAGCGCGTGCCTGTAGTTCCAGCTATTGGAAGGCTGAGGCGGAAGGATCGCCAGAGCCCAGAAGGTCGAGGCTGCGGTGGCCGGGAGCAGCCATTGCACTCCAGTCTGGGTGACAGAGTAAGACTCTAACTCAAAAAAATAAAAATAAAAATAAAAACAAATAAAGTAAAACTGAGCAATACAAGAGGTCTTCAAAAAATTCATGGAACATGCATGTTACGAAAAAACTATATATGGATTTCAAAAGTTTTTTGCACCCATATAAACTTGTACTAACTTGTTATAACATGTCCAAACAGGATCTAGTTTGAGATACTAAAAAGATAAGATGTCAGTTACAAAGAAGCCCCTATCAGAGCAACATGAAATCTGCTAAAATTGAAGCAAGGACAAAGACCAAATATATGGTGAAGCTTGGTTGGGAGAATAGTGAAGTCATTGATGCATTACAAAGATTTCACCATTGGGACCATTTTATGAGACCAAGTGCCCCCAAGAGATCAGCAGTTTACAAATAGAAAACTCATTTTAAGAAGGGATGAAATGATGTTGAAGATGAAATCCATGGTGGCAAACCATCTATGTCAATTTGAGAGGAAAAATATAATCTCATCGGTGCCCTAATTGAAGAGAACTTTTTTTTTGTTTTTTTGAATTGTAGTCTCACTTTTATGCTCAGACTGAAATGCAGTGGTACGCTCCCAGCCACTGCAGCCTCAACCTGCTGGGCTCCAACGATCCTTCTGCCTCAGCCTTCCAATTAGCCAGAACTACAGACATGTGCTACCACACCCAGCTAATTTTTTATTTATTGTAGAGACGAGGGCTCACTAAGTTGCCCGGGTGGGTCTTGAACCCACGGGCTCAGGCAATCCACTCAACTCGGCCTCCCAAAGCACTGGGATAACAAGCTGAGCCACCAAGCCCAGCCATAACTGATGATTAACAGCAGAAACAATACTCAATGCCACAGACATGTCAATTGATTCAACTTACACAATTCTGACTTAAAAATTAAAGTTGAGCCGGGCTTGGTGGCTCAGCCTGTAATCCCGTGCCTTGGAAGGCTGAGGTGAGTGGATTGCCTGAGCCTGCAGGGTTCGAGACCCGCCTGGGCAACTTGGTGAGATCTCATCTCTACAATAAATCAAAAAATTAGCCAGGTGTGGTAGCGCGCGCCTCTAGTTCCGGCTACTTGGAAGGCTGAGGCGGAAGGATCACTGGAGCTCAGTAGGTCGAGGCTGTGGTGGCTGGGAGCAGCCACTACACTCCAGCCTGGGCGACAGAGTGAGACTCCAACTCAAAAAAAAAAAAAGAAATTAAAGTTGAACAAACTTTCCAGTTGGTAGGTACTAAAACTGTTGCACATAGATTAGTTGCAGACAAGAGAAGAGACTTCAGTGGAAATTTTAGACAACTAGGATCAAGATCCTGAAGCATTTCTTCAAAGAATTGTAGCAGGAGGTGAAACATGGCTTTACCAGTTAAAATAGACTGTAGATTTATAAATAATTCCATAGATTTATGTCATATTTTGCTTTGTGTATTTTGAGGCTATGTTGTTAAATGTCTAATACTTTTTTTCTTAAATTATTTTTAGTTTGGTGTTTATACAACAAAACTGGCTTTATTTATTCTAAACTTTTTATATCAGTATAGCTTAGGGCTATATCTTACAAATAGTAACTGGAATCTTTCATCTTATCTGAAAATCTTTATCATAACTGGAGAATAAATCTCCTATATGTAAGATTTTTCTGATTGTTTTCAAGATTTTCTTTTATTTTTAGCATTTTTATTATGATGTGCCCAGACGTAGTTTTGTTCACATTTATCCTGTGTGGGATGTGCTGAGTTTCTTGGATCGGTAAAGATGCATCTTTATAAAATTTGTAGAAATTTCATTGATAATTGCTTCAGATGAATTATTTTAGCCCATTCTTGCTTTTTCTCTTTCCCCTCTGGGAATCCAATTATATTTATGCTAGGCCTTTCAATATCGTCGCAAGAGTCATGACAACCTTTTTAAAAATCTTTAAAAGTTTTTCTTCTTCAGAATGGGGACTTTCTATCAATGTATTTCAAGTTTATTGACTCTTTCTTTTTCTCTCACCTACATTCTGCTGTTAATGTCAACTAGTGAATGATTTAGTTTTAAATACTGTGTTTCTCAGTTGTTGAATTTTCATTTTTGTGATTTCTGTTTCTCTGTCTGGTTCTTATCTTTTCATTCACTACTAGAATATTTACTTTTTTATCACTGAGCAAAGTTGTAAGAACTGCGGTCATTATGGCTACTAATTCCAAGAACTGAGTCAGATCAGAATAGATGTCTGTTGACTCCCTTCCTCTTGAGAATGAGTCTCATTTTAAAGCTTTTTATGTCACACAATTTTCTGTAAATGTTCTATGGATAAGACTCTGGATTCTCTTACATTCCTCTGGAAATGGTTTGATTTTGTTTTATTTAGTTTTAGCGGGTGATTCACTTGGTTGGAATCAGATGAAAGGCTTTGTCTTTTGGATTTCAGTTCCATTCTTCTATCCTTAACTTAATTGCTTGCTGTCTTCCTGTGTGCATGTGAGGTTCAGAGAAGAGTTTATAAAGCAATTTCTGGTTTCCCCCTCGCTGGTTCTCTTCGTTTTGGAATTCTCCCCTCATTGTTCAGTAGCTGCAATTGTCTAGAACTCTATTATTTGCTTCTTTAGGCCACCTGAGTTTTCTCTTGAAGTTTTAGGTTCATCACATTGTACCAAATGTGATCTGTCCTCAGGCTAAAACCCTAAAAATAAATAAATTTACATTATGCTGTTCCTATCTTCCATGTGTTGACATCCTTCCAGAATCTGTCTGCTTTTCTTCACTGGACAGTAGTTTGGAAGGGTGCAGATTGTAAAAGTAGGAAGCCGAATTTAACTTTTCTGTAAAGATATTTTGATGCATAGTAATAGAATAATGGAAATGGAGATGAAAGGCAGCATACAAATGTGATATATTTTCTTAAGTTAGAAGCAAGACTTAGGCCAGGCTCAGTAGCGCAGCCTAGAATCCCAACACTTTGCGAGGCTGAGGTGAGTGGATTGCCTGAGCCCATGGGTTCGAGACCAGCCCTGGCAACTTGGCGAGACCTCGTCTCTACAGTAAATCAAAAATTAGCCAGGCATAGTAGTGCACACCTGTAGTTCCAGCTAATTGGAAGGCTGAGACAGAAGAATTGCTGGAGCCCAGCAGGTCAATGCTGGGGTGGCTGTGAGCATGCCACTTCACTCCATCCTGGGTGACAGAGTGAGACTCCACCTCAAAAAAAAAGGAAACAAGACTTAAATTCTACCCAAGAGGACCTGAGAACACCAAAGTCAAAAATACCGAAATACCATTCAATGAATACCTTCTCTGTTTCTTATTAGTGTCTTCCCCTTTTACTCATTCTCTAGCCATTTAAAAGCCAAAAACTTTCGCTAATAAATAGGAGAGGTAAGATAGAGTGAGGAAAAAAACAGAAGTTAACCAGACCTCCTCTTTGTTTGCTTCAGATTTCTAATTCAGATTCAAGTCTAAGCTTAGGGAGTTGAATCTCTTAAACTAGATACAGTGGTCAAAGAAGGGCTCTCTGAAGAGATGACATTTGGCTGAAGTTCTGAACAAAGTACATGGTTTTAACAGCATAATATTAAACATTTGGATTACGGCGCTAAGATTTATCTTTGACATTTTTATGTATGTATTTATTTCCTCTTTGCCTTCAAGCAGCTCTTGTTTTAACCACCTAACCAGACTGTGTGTTGTTTTAGGTTGTGGCCCAGGCAGTATTATTCATGTGTATGAATACAGCTGGAATCTTCATCAGTTACCTGTCAGATCGAGCCCAGCGTCAAGCCTTCCTGGAGACACGGAGATGTGTGGAGGCCAGGCTGCGCCTGGAGACAGAGAATCAAAGACAGGTACCAATTGGAAATGTCGTATGTTTCAGTTATCAACTAGCCAGTCTCTGAATTACAGGGAGCATTTTTCCCCCTCCAAAACACATCCTGACTTACACATGTTCTCTCAAAGTTTGCGCCGTGAGATTTCAGTCTAAAATAGTTATGTTAGACTTACAGGTCAAAGTGGGTAGTTCTTATTTGCCATGATCAATTAATGACTACCCACAAGAGATAAAGTGATTGTAGTCACAAAGTGATTTTCTGGCCTATTGACTGATATCTATACTATTGACCGAGATCATGATTCCTAAATATTATCAACGTTCTTACCTTATTGCCCTTTTTCTTTGAAATTGCACATTGCTATTTCAGATATGTAGCAATTCAAATTATAGTAAGCTCATAGAACAATCTTGCACTTGTCTAGTTCCCAATACTTCACCCACATTTTTAGAAGAGATATTGTATACAATAAGTACTATAAACATGAGGCCAATCCCAGAATAAGTAATACATCAGGGAAAGCAGGTTGGATTTGGGGGCAGGCTGTTTGGAGAGGTTGAAATAAAGGAATTTCTTGGACATCTTGATTGAGTGGATATTATAGGGACTTAAAAATTGCTTTGGCTGCAAATAATATGTTTCACCCAAATGGAATTAACTTTCAAAGAATAAAGATTTGCTCATGTTAAAGCTGTTAATATATTCAGAATCTACATATACCTTTGCCTCTGAAAACAATTTTCAAAGTGAAATATCAAGAATGTGTTGATTTGTTTCTGTAATAGATCACTAAGTATGATGGTCGCCAATTCTAATGCCACATGTTCTCACTCATAAGTGGGCCTTGAACACGAGTCACAGTACAAGAGAGAGAGTGGCAGTCTGGGCACTGCCAGGGGAAGAAAGGTGGAGGCACATAACAGCATAAAGTGTACCTAGTCCTAACATAGGGAAAGTAAGGGCCAGTTGGAGGCCTAAACTTCACCTGCATGCAGACTACTTGTGTTGTTAAGCCTTACCTGTACTCCATATATCTATAATAAAGTAAGATTAAAAAATGGTTTACACTCCCACCAACAGTGTAGAAGCGTTGCCTTTTCCTGCATCCTTTCCAACATCCGTTGTTTTTTGAGTTATTGATGATGGCCATCCTGACTGGAGTCAGGTAGTATTTCAGTGTGGTTTTTTTTTTTGTTGTTGTTGTTGTTTTTTGAGTTGGAGTCTCACTCTGTCACCCAGACTGGAGTGTAGTGACCGCTCCTGGCCACCGCAGCCTTGACCTACCGGGCTCTGGCGATCCTTCTGCCTCAGCCTTCCAAGTAGCCAGAATTATAGGCATGCGCTACCATGCCTGGCTGACTTTTTTTTTTTTTCTGTAGAGATGAGGTCTCGCTGTCCAGGCGGGTCTCGAACCCGCGGGCTCAGTCAATCCACTCACCTCAGCCTCCCAAAGGCACGGGATTACAGGCTGAGCAACCGAGCCCGGCTTTCAGTGTGGTTTTAATTTGCATCTCTTTGATGATTAGTGAGGCTGAGCATTTTTTCATGTATCTATTGGCTATTCATATGTCTTCTTCTGAGAAGTGTCTATTCATACCTTTTGCCCACTTTTTAATAGGGTTGTTTTGTTGTTTTTTCCTTTCAGCACTTTTGAGTTCCTTGTAGATCCTGGATGTTAGGCCTTTGTCAGATATATAGTTGGCAAATATGTTTTTCCCATTCTGTGGACTGTCACTTCACTCTCTTGATGGTGTCTTTTGCTTTGCAGAAGTTTTTCAGTTTGATGAGGTCCCATTTATCTAGTCTTATCTTTTATGGCATTCCCTTCAGGCAAATTGATCAACAGTCAGTTGCCTATTCCAATGTGCTGAAGAGTATTTCCTATGTTTTCTTCTGTAATACTTATAGTTCGAGGTTTTACATTTAGATCCTTGATCCATTTAGAGTTAATTTTTGTATATGGTGATAGGTAGGGGTCCTTTTTCAATCTGCATGCAGTCAGCCTGCTTTCCCAGCACCATTTACTGAAATAAGGGTACCCAGCCTCAAACCAGGCAAAGTGGGGACCATGGGAAGGCCCAAACTTTACTTGTATGATGGCCATTTCTTTACCTAACCCTGAACTGTACCCCACGTCTTTAAAATAAAAAAAGATAAAAAAGAATATGGTGAAAATTTAATTTTAAATTCAACATATAATATCCCAAGTTTATATGCTCTTGGGAGTTCTATGCTCAATAAATATGTTAGTTCTACCATACTAGGCTCTTTTATTAAAGTTATGTCTTGTTATATATAATACAACACAATTGTTATTTAAACCTCTATGCAGTAATGGTTGGAGAAATGAAAAAGAAAGTAGCTGTGAAAGACTCAACATTTTCTTCACAATTCATTTGATCAAATCATCAGGAAACCATGGATCTTTGAAGTGAGTGAACCCAGGTCTATGCGATAATGGATGGGGCAGACAGGTCGGGTGCAACTACCAGGACTCAACTCCCTTTACCATATGTTATTGCCAGAGGCACAGAGGAAGCTACTAAATTTTCAGATCTTATCTTGACTTCACAGGATTCTGAATAGGAAATTTCTAAGCAAATATCTCAAATAATTACGGAACCCCATTAATCGTTTTATTGTAGTTTCTCTGAATAGCTTTTGGAATACTTTATAAAAAAATATCTTCAAGAAAGAAAGCATCTTGTACCATAAACATAAATGTCTCCCAGGACTATGTAGTATGTTCCTGTGCAAAACAGAACAGTTGCCAGACTGGCACGTCACTCTTTCCGTGGGATCTGTGCCAATTCAGTGAATGCTGCCATATTAATCATTTATTCAGCTGTTCTTGATGCTCCATCACAGCAAGAGTTGCAGGTGTGGGTGAGTTGTCTGGGTTGCCTCTTATTTAGTGTTTACGAAGTACTGTAAACACTGGTAATTATTGCCTTTCTATCTTCATAAGACTTTTCTTCCTTTCCCATATTTCAGATTGGTTGTTTTGGAACCACTGAGATCTCATAATCTAAGAAGGTGGAGGAATCTTCCACCACCCTCCCTAACCTTTTTTTTTTAAGTGGTAGAAGGAGGAAGAAAATAATAATATACAAAGGTGAGAACAAGTGACAACTGGAATGTAGTGAGGATACCACTAAGGTCTGTACCATGGCTTCTATCACTTCCTAGCAAAGCCACCTGATCTATTTAACTTGCATCCTTGGGTTCCTCACCTGTCCATGAAGCAATAGCTTTCTCCTCAGCATTGCATTTGCCTCAAATGAGATCATGTGTACAAGGCAACACAAACGTGTCAGTTGGCTTCATTTTTTTTATGGATAAAGTACAGGAAAAGACTGTCTTTCTTATGGAAGGTTCTTTGTTCCTAGGATTAAGTAAAATAAGCTGTAGGCATCTTATAGTCCTGTGTTCATGGCTATGATAAAGTATTTCTGGCATATTCATCACCCTCCTTCACCCAGGGGTAGTATCTGAAATAGCTAGCTCTATATCGTTCAGTGCTAAAGTTACTTTCCATCGGCATTTGATCTCTGCTTCAGGTTTCCATTGTCCCTAAGAACTTACTCAGCAGTAGATGGACAGTGTATCTAAGACATAGGCTTTCAAATGAGACTGCCCTGGATTTGAAATCTTTTCTTTGTTAACTATTTTAGTGAGCTTGAGTAAGCTCTGAGTCTTAGTTTCTCCTTCCACAGCATAAGGATAATAATACCCTTCCTGAAAAGTCTCCCTAATGGTTAGAAGTATTTTCTGTGCAATGTCTTTGCAACTAGTAGCATTATTGTGCATAAGGAATTTTATGAGTCAGTCAACATAGTTCTAGCTAAGACTCATTTGAGAATGCATTATAGATTGGCTCGTCTTGATTGAACTACTTAAGCTTATTTATTTGGAGGTCAGTCAGGATGGTGGTATTTCTTAGGTATACAACAACCAGAGCTTATTATTGGGTTCCATCTATATCTTTTAAAATACCATTCACAAATGAATTACCATTTATATCTTATCAGAACTAATTATAATGCTATTACTGTTAAAAATTCTATACCCTGATACCCAGCAAATTGTGTACTTCTTCAGTGTAAGACCCTAAGTGACAACAGATGCTTTTTCCTTGTATAATGATCTCAAAAAGACTAATGAAAAAATGTTTTCCAATTATAAATGCAGATTTAAAGAGGTCATATTCCACAGAAATTATCAGGTTTTGCGAGATTGTTCAAACACTATTTTAATCTCATTGTAGGATACAAAGAAAATATTTAAGTAACTTAATTTATTCATCCATGAATTAATTTATTTATTGAGGGTCTGTTATATTACAGGAGCTCTGCTGGGCTTTGGGAATGTAACGGTGACTAGCAATCAATTCCTGCTGTGGGAGGAGATGGAAGATTACACAAACACCCAAGGCAGTAACATATGGGTCAAACCTAACCCGGAGGCTTAGAGAAGGCTACCTGGAAGAAATGTTGCCTGAGCTGACATGTGAATAGATTCTAGCTCAGCAGAGAAGCAATGAAGAGTACTCCATAAATGACAGGGCACATGCAAAAAACCTTGAAGGAAGAGGAAACATAGTTTATTGGGGGGAATTCTGAGAATTCCCATGGTCATTCTTCCATTTATGCATCTATTTATCCTCTCATTCTTTTGTAGATGCAGAGACAAATAAGACTCAGTCTTTACTCTGCATTGGGGCTGTACTATGAGTAGAACTTTAATTATGTGAAGAGGCGGGAAAAAAAATTAGCAAAGATACTGGTAACATGATATATGACCTTTAACTAGTTACATATATGACATATATATATATGATCATATATATGAGCATATACATATATATGATCAGCATATATATGATCATATACATATATGTGATCAGCAATGCTGGGCAGTAGGTTTTCTCTGATACCCAGCAAATTGTGCACTTCTTCAGTGAGACACTGCTACATATATACACTGTTAGCCTTGCATCAGGCATTGCTCAGAGT